CCTCGTTGTCGCAACTTGGTCTTGTGTTCAGGGAGACTATGTAGAACGCACTGAGTCCGAAGTCGTCTGCTATAGTAATTGTCTTGATTCCTAACATCTGACCGTGGACCTGATACATTTTTGTTATAACAATCGACTCCCGCTGGGGGTGTTAACAAGATCTATGCGAGGTCGAAACTGTAGTCCACTCTGGACGAGAACAACTTTTGGGAAAGCAAGGCTATGTGAAATTCAATGGAAACGTCAACTCTACTCATATAATTGTGGGAAAATTTTACTACCAGTCCTTCATCACCTTAAACGAAACATATTACTGATTTACTGGAAGTCTCGAAACTCTATTTAAATACGAATAAAAAATAACTTAGTCGATTGCAATAGCAAAAACAACCTTGCTTCATCGAAAATCTCAGAACAGAATGTGATATTAGAAAATGCCTGGTTTTCCTCAAATTCACATCTGTCTCACTACCCAAGGGCACTCGTGGCAATGTGGTGAAGTGGTTAACGTGTCGAGATTATATACTGCAGTGGAATTATTCTAGTCCCGTTGGGGATGCTGATAAGACGTACTGTCGCAGAACATAGTAAGACCACGAATTCCCTAATGAGTTGTCGCATATACTCAAAAAAGACGTCAAAGGTTATCAAAAACTGTTCAAGCCTGACTGTGTGGTCTTGTCTGATAAAAAATGTGTTGAACTGATCAATGCTGAGTAAATAAAAATTCCCTAGGAAGCCAATGTGAAATAAAAAACCATACTGAGCGATTACGCGATAGGGACTGACCAATTTCTTTAGTTCTGATAAGTTTGATCCGCTGGTGGGATTAAGAGGTTCCTCAAGGTCTGTCGGTGTTGGTGTGACGAGGCCAGAGTTGGGAATGGCGCAATAAGCTGGTTTCCTGTCCAAAGGATAGTTGAAACGAGGATCAGGCCGCTGCATTGCTTGGGCCCGCCATCTTCTGTATCGGTTTGTGGAAAGTGAAGTGCTGTTTTCCGAAATGGAGTTTTCTACTAAAGCTTCCGGCCGAAGAGGTAGTTCAACTTGACATACAGCAAGCTCTGCATGTCCTTTGGCCTGAGGCCCGCGCATTCGCATGTACTCGACGCGGCGCTGTGCTCCTGCGAGCCTATTATTGATACGACCACAGAGACCAGATGGCTGGTTAGCCGATAAGTGTTCAAAGCTTGGTCGCCAAAATGTTCCGGAAGAAGGCCACCGCGAGAATCTGGAAGACAAGCTCATCTTAAGGCGGTCGATGAAGAAAGATGATGGGAGGAGATAGATTAAATAAAAGGCGAGATGAATTTGACCGATAAAGTTGAGATAATAGGATTGTAGGACTAGATGTATGGGATGCACTGCAAGCTGGAGTAAGATTGCTGAATATATTGTGTGGTGTCCAGAGGTTAAAGTGAAAGGTGATAAATACTTGTTAGTAGAATAATGGAAGAACTTATTAAACAAGATAGATTAAAATTTTCTTAGGAGGGGGCATAATTAGGTCACAATAGGGGAGTGACAGGATCAGGTAAAGCATTTAAAATTAAACAAATGCATTGTCTTAAATAGGAAAACAAAAAAAGATTTAATAATTGCTAGACAAGCTCATTATCGAATATTCCCAAGTAATTGCAATGCAATTAAGTGATGAATCTTAGCCTACTAATGCAAAACAATTATTTTTTTCGTTAATATAGTTATCAAATGGCAGTTCAGAAACTGAAGTAAACAATTCTAGATCGATGACCGGAAAATCGGAATTCAACAATTAATATCACTAAAGTTGAAAGTACTTCACATTAATCCTTAATAAAAAGTGCAACTACATTCAAGGTGAAACGCATTCTATATTTCGAACAGGCATTAGGTATCTAAAGAGATCATATAGAAGTTCATGCATATATAAAGACAAAGATG